AAACATCTCTGGAGCAAGGCCGGTATTGTAGAAATACAGTAAAAAATTACAGGAGTGTGTTGATTCGTGTGTGGGTACATGTGTGCGTGCAGCTCGTGTCTCAGTTTGAGGTTGCTGTGAGCTAGGCTGACGCCAGGGCACTCACTCTAGCCTGGGCAACAGAAGGAGACTGTGTTTCAACAAAAAAAAGGAAAGGCTAAGAATAATATAGACAGGTCTTGCTGGCTTTCCCCACTCAATCTATTGGCATTAGATCATACCCTTTTGTCCAATTATATTTTTACACACCTGTCCATACTTTGTTGAACCTAAGCATTAAAACAAACAGTTTCCTGTCTATCTTTGAGGTCTTCATTATGAAAAATACAACATGATTAAAAAACAAATATTGGGCCAGGCGCGGTGGCTCACACCTGTAATCCTAGCACTCTGGGCGGCCGAGGCGGGCGGATTGCTCCAGGTCAGGAGTTCGAAACCAGCCCGAGCAAGACGAGACCCCATCTCTACTATAAATAGAAATTAATTGCCAACTAGTATATAGAGAAAAATCAGCCGAGCATGGTGGTGCATGCCTGTAGTCCCAGCTACTCGGGAGGTTGAGGCAGGAGGATTGCTTGAGCCCAGAGTTTGAGGTTGCTGTGAGCTAGGCTGATGCCACAGCACTCACTCTAGCCTGGGCAACAAAGTGAGACTCTGTCCAAAAAACAGTAAAACAAAAAAACAAAAACAAAAAAACGAATATTGGCCCAGCGTGGTCACGGCTCATGCCTATAATCCTAGCACTCTGGGAGGCCTAGTCAGGCAGATCGCTCAAGGTCAGGAGTTTTAAACCAGCCTGAGCAAGAGCGAGACCCTGTTTCTACTAAAAATAGAAAGAAATTAATTGGTCAAATAAAAATATATAGAAAAAATTAGCTGGGCCTGGTGGCACATGCTGTATCGAGCTACTCGGGAGGCTAAGGCAGAAGGACTGCTTAAACCCAGGAGTTTGAGGTTGCTGTGAGCTAGGCTGATGCCACGGCACTCTAGCCAGGGCAATAGAGTGAGTCTCTGACTCAAAAACAACAACAACAACAACAAACAACCCAAATATTTATCGAGCACTTACATGTGCTTGGTACAATGTAAGCACTGTACATTTAGTAGCTCATTTAACCTTAATAGGCTAGGCACTTGTATTATTCCTGTTAAATGCATGAAAAATCTGAGGCACAGAGAGTTTGAGTAAGTTGCCCAAAGTCACACAGTTGAGAGCAGTGGAGATGAGATGTCAGCCTAGCTGAGTTCTAAACCACCTTTAACTATGAACTCAACCAAGCTGGGTATTTACTTTTACCTTTTGTATGTGCAATTCAAGTTCCCCTACCGTAGCTACAAGGTTCTAGGTGACTAGGGAGCTTCCATGACACTGCCTGACACGTTGCTATTCTGAACTCAGGGCTGCTAAGAGCAGCTGACACACTTCTCTTAGTGATGCTGAGGCCAGAGTTGGGGTAGAGAGGTGGCCCCGTGTGTAGAACTCCATCCCCCCTCTCAACTGGCAGGATGCAGTGATTCAGGGGGTTAGGCTGGCCTCCCTGCCCAGGGTTCAAAATAGTAATTATGATGTAATGTTTGCTTAATGTTTTTTTTTTTTTAAATACTCTGGTGATTTATGGACTTAAAAATTATGTCAATGTACCCCGAGGACGATGGTGAAAGGTGCAATTTTGACATCAAAACAAGCCGGTTCATCGAATATTTAATTAAAGGATTAGATGAAAAAAACAGATACAAAGTTGCTCTGATGGAAATGTGGCCTAACCCCCAAGCCGAGGTCTTACAGAGTGGCAGAGGCTAGTGTCATCTTCGAAAACAAAATATGGTTACAGACGGATTCCAGAAAGAATGCAAATTTATTGCCTACATAATATCAGGGCTGGTTTCTTTAAAAAAGTGGTTACTTATTAAAATACAAGATGATTTATTTTGAGGGTTCTCAAAGGCACACAGACTCCCCTTTCTAATGTAAAGTAGTAGAGGAAAAATTAGAGGGCTTTGTGTTCCTCTCTTGCTAAGAAAGGGTGTTTATTAGCTAGGATGCCAATGAAAAATTTAATACAATGTAGTTTATAGCAGGGGACTGTGTCTTTGGTCCTTCATCTGGATATGTAGCTCTGGCTCCTCTCATGGATAAGCTAAATAAAGACTTATTAGATTTTAATTCAAGTTTATTATTTATCTGCCATGATGCCACATTAAAAAAAAAAATCATGATAACTGTTTCTCTACACAACTGGGGTTAAATCAGTTGATTTAAAGATTCCTTCTTGGCCGGGCGAGGTAGCTCATGCCTGTAATCCTAGCACTCTGAGAGGCCTAGGCGGGCAGATTGCTCGAGGTCAGGAGTTCGAAACCAGCCTGAGCAAGAGCTAGACCCCGTCTCTACTAAAAATAGAAAGAAATTAATTGGCCAATTGAAAATATAGAAAAAATTAGCCGGGCGTGGTGGTGCATGCCTGTAGTCCCAGCTACTCGGGAGGCTGAGGCAGAAGGATCGCTTGAGCCCAGGAGTTTGAGGTTGCTGTGAGCTAGGCTGACGCCATGGCACTCACTCTAGCTTGGGCAATAGAGTGAGCCTCTGTCTCAAAAATAAATAAATAAATAAAAAGATTTCCTTCTTTGCTACCTGTGCTAAATTAAGCCTTAACTGAAATTAGGAATGTGCTAATTTAACAATTTACACTGCAGGCCTGCTTCCTGGCAATATGCCCTCAATTCAAGAAAAGAAAGAAGGAAACCTACTTCATGAAGAGAAATCAAACCTCACCCCCACTCTTCTCTTTTCCTTTTTGGTTTATTCTGAGTAATTGTCCTGAGGAAACAAACCCACCAACCGCTGTCAAGTCTGATTCCTCTTTCTGAAGTTACAGCCTTCCTGCTCCTCCATGATGGCTAGGCTGATGTTTCACTTTTGCTAGCCATTTTCCAAATACTGTGAGTCTTAGGACCAGGAGGGCTACTGAGGTCTTTTCCCCTTGTCACCTTTTTTTCTTTCTTTCTTCTTATTCTTTTTTTTTTTTGGTGGCATGTGGTGCCAAACCAAGAGGAGACAGCAGGTCTAGGCCATCCCTGTTCTGACCCTCTGGGGCCATCTTCCTTCTGGCAATTCTCTTTCCCCATCTGTTTCCCACTTGTTTTTGTTTTTTTATTTTTTTTTTTATTTTATTTTTTTTTTGTTTTTTTAAAAAGAATTAGAAACAATCAAAGAAAGAAAGATATATAAAGCAAAAGATATATAAAACATCTCTGGAGCAAGGCCGGTATTGTAGAAATACAGTAAAAAATTACAGGAGTGTGTTGATTCGTGTGTGGGTACATGTGTGCGTGCAGGTCTCAAGTTATGGAAGAAACTCAGTGTACTGAGGTAGATGGTGGCACGAGAAGCTCCTCTTTAAATTTTAAAAAAGTTTACTTCTTCAGTTGGCAAACGAAGAATTCTGTTCTGGTTTTATTTGATTGATAATTTTGCCACTTTCACACACACTGCAGCAAATGGATACAGATCTTTCGCTTTGTTCCAGGTGCCGAGGAGGGTGTTGTGGAGGGCAGCTAAGACGTGGGCCTTCCTGGCAAGGCTGCCAGGCTCTTTGTGGGCCTGGAAAGCTTGTCCCAACTCAGGACAGCACCTGGGCCCAGGAAATGGCTTTGTCCGTTCAGGAAGGTGCTTCTATACCTTCCTCAGGCCTTCAGCTCTAATTTGTCCAGCTGGGTTGACTTAAGTAAGGACTGTTCCCAGGTTGATCTTGTCCTGGATTCCAATGAGCAAATTCAGAGGAGCTGGGGGCATCTATGTAGTACATTTTTAAACGTTTCCACCTTATGATCCAACATGGTTATGCAGAACACCAACTTTAAAAAAAAATTTTTTTTTTTATTGAGGTGTAATTCACACACAGTGAAAATGTGCACAGATTTTAAACGGTATTTGTAAGTTTTGACAAATGTACATACACACAAATAAAAATATATTTTTATTTCATTACCCAGAAAGGTTCTCTCAATCCCTTTCCCAGTCTATACCTCCCTATCCACAAGGGTACTTTTCCTAACCCCACAGCTTAGTCTTGCCTGTTCTATAATTTCCTGTAAATGGGATCACACAGTATGAACTCTTTTGTGTTTGGCTTCTTTCTCCCAACATGATGTTTTTGAGAGTCATCAGGTTGTTGCCTGCAACAGTTTAAAGGAGGACCCAAGATATCACCAACAGCAAGAGTAATGGGGACAATGGTTCCCCCTGTTGACCTCCAGGCCAGCTACTCCCTAAATTCTGGCGAGGGGCCCTTTCTGCCCTTCCAAGCCAGCCTCTTTCCAGGGCCAAGCAAGTTCCTCTCCCAGAACCGCCCAGGCAGCCTCGGGAACCACCCAGATGGCCGCGGGGCCGTCACCAGGTCGCCTCTCTAGAACAGCTGCCCCCTTCCTCCCCCTAACCCCATTAAAACTCAAAAGCGAACCGGCCCCTCTGCCGATAATTCAGATTCGCTCAATTCCACGCATCCAATTGCACACAACTGTGTGATGTTTTGGTGTTGATCACAGAGTCCTTAAGAAAACGTAAAAAAAAAAAAAAGAAAAAGAAAAAAAAAAAAAGGAAAGGTGGAGGGAAACCCAGATCTCCCGGGCAGTGGATATCAGCCTCCGTAGACCCAGGGATACAGAATGAAATCTTTTCTTTTCTTTTTTAAATAAACGGAAGAGTCGCTCTCGGCTCCTCGCTCAGAAGGTTTCAAAGGTCGTCACACTGAAGCCCGGGGGCGTTCATCTCCCCAGCGGCCCGGAGCAGGGAGGAGGTCGGAGGGAGGAGGGAGGGAGCACACAAAAGCAGGCCGTGCTGAGAGGGCTAATGTTTCCTGTTTGCCTGGAGCCCCCTCCCCTGCCTCCCCTCCCCCAGCCCCCTCCCCGCACTCGGGCGGAAGTGAGTTTGCTCCTTTGGAGATTAAAAGGATTCCGAATTCCGATCAGTCCCAATAACCAGCGTACTGAGGAGAAGAGAAGGAGGAGGAGGAGGAGGAAGAGGCGGCAAAACAGAGAAAGAGGGGGCGCGCGCGCGCGCACACGCATCCCGAACTGGGGGAGTTGTGCAAAGCCCCAGGAGGCCAGGGCACGGCGGGAGCAGAGCCCGGTAGGCGCAGCGCGGCCGGGGCCACCCGCGTCCCGCTCGGCGACTCGTTTCAGAGAGAAGATGACGCGGGCGCGAGCCGGCTGCGTTGACCACGCGGCTCCCGAGCTCGCCGCGCGGGGCCGTTGCCGGTTCCACTGATTCCAGCGCGCCCGGGAGGAGGCTCCATCCCCGAGGCTCGGGATCGGAGGGGGGACCAAAGCGAGGGTGAAATGGCCCGATGACAAAGGAAATGTGATCCCCTTCGCTGCCAAGGTTTCAGAGAGGACGGACGTGAGGAGGAGGAGGGGCGCAGGGCGCGCGCGGAGCTCGGATAGCATTGCACGACGGCCCGCGCGGAGCGGGTACATCTAATATCTTCCTGCCGATGAATAATTCAGGGCGGCCCGCGGGGACCTGCGGCCCCGCGCCACAGCGCGGCTAAGCCGGACGGGAAGGAGCGTGCGGGAGGCGCCCAGGCCCAGCGAGGCGGGGGCACGAGGGCCCCGGGCCGCGTGGGGCGCGCGTGCGTGTTAAGCGCGGGCAGCCGCGGCCCGGCTGGGCGGGCGCGCGGGAGACTCGAGGCGCGTGAGACGCGCGTGCGTACTGCACGCGTGCGGCCGCGGCTGGGCCACCACGAGCTGCAGCTGCTGCAGGGCCGACCGCCCTGCAGGGGAGGCCGCGCCTGGCCGTGCGCAAGCCCCAAGCACAGCACGCCGGGCCACCCAGGAGCCCCTGGCCGCCGCGTCATGCGGCGGGGCGGCCGGCGTCGCGCGGGGGGACACTGGCTTGGCGACGCGCCGCTCCCGCCTTTACTACTTTGGGGCACCTTCCCCTCCCAAGAAGAGACTAAATCCATTTAAAGAAAAGCAACGCACCAAATATTCGTCGAACCAAATTCTGCTCTCGCCGGGACTGGGATTGCACAGCGGACTCTCCTTTTGGGAACTCCTTGGCTATCGCGAAGCGAAGCCCCAGCTGCTCCAGGGAGTCTCCTGACCTCCCTGCCCTCGTTCGCCCCTCGCGAGTCTGGGCTTGTTCCGGCGTTCCCTCTTCGGAAGGCACGCGGGCCCCAAGTCCTCCAGGAGGAATCTGTGTAGCCGCTGGATAGTGGCATTTAATGCCTGCAGTGTCAGGGGTGGCAGCGCTCGAGCCGGACGTGGCGAGGCCAGGCGGGCAGCGCTGCTCTGGTGCCGGCTCCCGGATTGCAGGCCTAATCGATGCATTTTTCTGAGTGAGTCGGCTCCCCCACCCACCTCGTCCGCTCTCTCCTCCTCCTCCTCCTCTTCCTCTCTGGTCTCCTCCCTCCTCCGGGCTGGGTTGCAAATGGCTTCGTTCCCCGAGACCGACTTCCAGATCTGCCTGCTGTGCAAGGAGATGTGCGGCTCGCCGGCGCCGCTTTCCTCCAACTCGTCCGCGTCGTCCTCCTCCTCGCAGACGTCCACGTCGTCGGGGGGCGGCGGCGGGGCCCCGGGGGCGGCGGCGCGCCGCCTGCACGTCCTGCCCTGCCTGCACGCCTTCTGCCGCCCCTGCCTCGAAGCGCACCGGCTGCCGGCCGCCGGTGGCGGCGCGCCGGGAGAGCCGCTCAAGCTGCGCTGCCCGGTGTGCGACCAGAAAGTCGTACTAGCCGAGGCGGCGGGCATGGACGCGCTGCCTTCGTCCGCCTTCCTGCTCAGCAACCTGCTTGACGCCGTGGTGGCCACCGCCGACGAGCCGCCGCCCAAGAACGGGCGCGCCGGCGCTCCGGCAGGCGCGGGCGGCCACAGCAACCACCGGCACCACGCTCACCACGCGCACCCGCGCGCGTCCGCCTCCGCGCCGCCGCTGCCGCCGGCGCCGCAGCCGCCCGCGCCTTCCCGCTCCGCGCCCGGCGGGCCCGCCGCCTCCCCGTCCGCGCTGCTGCTGCGCCGGCCGCACGGCTGCAGCTCGTGCGACGAGGGCAACGCCGCTTCTTCGCGCTGCCTCGACTGCCAGGAGCACCTGTGCGACAACTGCGTCCGCGCGCACCAGCGCGTGCGCCTCACCAAGGACCACTACATCGAGCGCGGCCCGCCGGGTCCCGCCGCCGCCGCCGCCGCGGCCGCGCAGCAGCTCGGGCTCGGGCCGCCTTTCCCCGGCCCGCCCTTCTCCATCCTCTCCGTGTTTCCCGAGCGCCTCGGCTTCTGCCAGCACCACGACGACGAGGTGAGTGCGTGGGGCCGGGTAACCGCGTGTGTGCTCCAGGAGGGCCTCTCCACCCGTCCCAAAGTGAGGAGAGGGGCCCGCTCCTTTCCGGACTTTCTTTGTATTTCCTTTGGCTACGTGGCAGTCGTTGCTACCAAGTAGATCATGACCCGGGGAGTGTGTGGAAGTACAAGTCGTGGCTTCTGTGTGCGTGCCGCGAGGGGCCCCCGAAAATTCCCACTGCGTGGGGTCCGCCCTTTGCTGCATTTCACTTTTCAGGGTGGCATACCGCGGCAACCGTTGTCTCCAATTAGGCGTGAGCTGGGAAGAAATAGGTGTGTGTTTGTGTAGACGTGGCCTCCTTGTGCGGGCACGCCGGAGGCCTCCCAGCGCGCTGAGAGGGCGCTCCTTTATTTTCTCATTTTTACTCGTAAATTTCGCGGATTGTTGTTTTTAAATGGGGCATGAGCCCACAGGAGATGGTTGGTGGGCGTTTGGACTGTGTGCGCCTGTGTAGACCTGGTTTCCACGTGTGCGGTTGTGAGGGGGAGACCGAGTTTCTTTGCTGCTGTTTGGACAGCGTGGCAGTCATGGCCTCGTTGTGCTGGGCAAGAGAGTGGGCGTCTGTGGACCGTGAGGGCCGAGTGGCCCCCGGTCTTAAGTCTTTGTCTGCTCCGCGCTGTTCTCCCGTGCTGTGCAAAAACCGTGTTCTGGTCCCTGAGCTCTCATCTGATGCAGGATCTCCGCTCGGATTCGCGGGCCCACGGCGGTAGCCCGAGATAGGGGCGGAATTAGGGGGCGACTTTGCCTTCACCCGGCTGGAAGTCTCTTGGGCCGCTCCCGCCTGCTCCGGCTTCAAATCCCTCTAGGAACCGGTTCCCCTGGTTGGGAGGTACCCTCACCCAGCTCCACCTGGGGCGCGACTGCCCCCGGACAAAACCGGAGCAGCCACACGCGGCTGGATCGTAGGGGTGCGCAGCGTCTTAGGGCTGCACCGCAGCCTTTGGGCTTGGTTTCGCTCTTTGGGCTGTCGGTTAAACCTTAACTTATTTTTCCCCACCGTGTTACCTCTTCCTCCTTTCCGCTTTGGTGTTAGACGTGTACCTTCTGCCCGCCCGAACCCATTGGAGGTAGGGGCCAAAGGTTTGAGGAGCGGGTTCTGCCCAGGGGCCCGGTAATTTCAGCGATCTACCTGCAGACCTGTGAGAATTGGTGTGTGTGGTCGCTACAGTCTTGCCTTGGAGGGAGGGCTGGGGACGGCAGGGGCTTTACAAATTCTAGTGGGACTTGCTGCCTGCGTGAGTAGCAGCGAGGCTAAGGTGGTGAGCACAGCACCGCAGCTTTTTCCACTCCTAACCTGTTATTTGGGGAGGAGGGCGGAGCTACTGCCTGATGGCCTGAAACTGGCTTCTCCTATTGGAAAAAAGTTGAAATCCTAATCTACTTGTTGTGGGCACCTCCTTTTTAAAGGTTCCTTCTTAAGTATTAAGCTAGGGGGCAGTTACCCTTTTTCCTTCGTTTTTTAAAGCTTTGAATGGACTCACCTTATAGTTTTAACACACTCGTAAATAAATGTTTCTAGTATGTTCTTTTCATCACTTTTAGAAAAATGAGTGATGGAGGTAAATACTGATCCAAGTCCTAGGAATGGAAAAATGGAGCCAGTTCACTTGCAGATTGGGATCACGTGGAGGGTGAGCCCAGGGAGTTGAAGGAGAGATGGCACCTGGAAACATCGAGAGTGGTTTTGAGTTTAAATGCCAGTTTTTACTTATATTTCCAGTTAAAGGTCATCTACGTTTTATTTGGGCTAAAATAGTGAGTGGGTGCTTAGTTCTTCCAGACGTGCAAAAGGTTTATTCACTTTTTAAATTGCATGGGAGAGCCTGAGATGAGAAGGGAAGCTCCCCTAGCCCTGGGAGGTACCCAGATGCCCTTAAAGTTCACCTTTTAGCATGTGCAATGCTAGGGCAAGCATTAAAGATAGTACGTTATTATTAAAATAAATATCCCTTTAAAAAAACCATTTGCTTAGTTGTGAGCAAAATTCTACTTTCCTCTATTTAGGTTTTCATTAAAAAAAAAAAAAGAAAGAAAACTTGGAAACTAATAGTTTGACTGCTCTATTGGTTCCTGGACTTTAGAATGCTAGAAAATTTGAGTTTTTAAAAGTGACAAACCAGTGCTCCAAGTAGAAGACTAAAGTGGTGGGGTTCATGTAAGAGGTCACAGCCTTAAATTCTTATTTTCATCCACAGCCTTAAATTCTTCCTTTCCTTTGAAGGAAGTGATCATTAACAGTTTCAGAGTCTGTTGTTTCTTTAACAAGTGAGGGCTGGGAAGGAGCCACGACTTGAGGGCACTTTGGAGGGTGACAGGCTGACCCCTGTCCTGATGGTGACACACAGAATGCCCAAATCCATTTATCTTACTGTATGTGCAGTCTACCTCAATTTTTAAGATGTGCTCCTTAACTGAGTTGCTTCCTGTGTCAACAGGCTTTTCATTAAATAATGTGGGGTGTCTTTTCCTGACAGCGGCTGATGCCACCTGACCTTGGGAAAGGGGACCTGGGGGGACGCCTCGCTTTTCCCTTGTCATTTTAGGGGGTGAGGGACGGTGGTGTAGGGTCTTGCCCGCTGATACTTCCTTCCTCAAACATCTGCCCAGAAACGACTCCTGGGAACTGGCAAGTGAGAGGTGTCTTGTCTGGGCAATCGGTTTAAAAACATCATGATAACGTGGAGACCTAAAAAGGAAGGGAGTTGAGTTTGCCAACAAAATGATGAGATGTGTTTGCCGCTCTTCTTAGCTCGTGTTTGGCTCATTTAAACATGGTTTGCGTTGTTTTTTGCCAGTTCTGTTCCTTGGTAGTCTATCTTTATTTATTTTTTTCATTTTATTTTTTTAAATACATCTTGAAGACAACTTGTTGTGTCCCAACCTTGGTAGTCTAAAAGGCCTGCTGGCGCGGTGGTGGCCGCGCCGGGGATCCGGGGACCGCGCGCACTGCGCCAGCGGCGGGTCCCGGTGGCGCTGCCCTGCCCTGTGCTGCGCTGCGGCCAGGCCGGCCCGAGCGCGCCTCGCCCGGGGAACGCAGCCCGGCACGCGGCTGCGCTTCTCCCCGCCGGCGCTCAGCGCTCGCGGCCGCTTGGGTCGAGGAGGGAGGGTCTTCGCGTTTTCGGAGGAAGAGTTTAGGGACTTCAGTGTGTGAGCTG